ATGCCCCATTTTTGGCCTCTGCGTGTCCTGTTTTTGAATGGTTCCAGGTGGTGGCAATTGCCACCGCTGCCTGTTGCCGCTGATCAACATCCAATCACCAATCATCTGTTCATGCTAAATCAGGCTGTGCTGAAGCTGACTAGGCTGTTTTCTGTTTGCTGCAGGGAGGCAAATTGTTGGGAGGCAGGGGCAGATTTTCCCCCCTTGTTTTTCTCCCCAAAAGCTAGGTGCATCTTATGGTCCGGAGCGTCTTATAGTGCAAAAAATATGGTATTTTCTATTGATTTGATGTAGTTGACAGCAGAACAGAAATTGCTGACACCATTGTTAATTGTCCTTTTTTCTTCCCCACAGATAGCTGCAAATTTCTGCATGATCGATCAGATTATAAGCATGGGTGGCAAATTGAGCGGGAACTGGATGAAGGACGCTATGGACTTAATGGTATGAGCAACCCCCTTTCTTCCAGTGTTTAGCAAATGTAATTGCTTATGATGAAAATAATGTCTTTCAAATTCACATAGGATATGACAAATAGCAGGTGCAAGGTTGGATGGAGTTGGATTGATCAAATATAGGAATGATTGCCTTTGAGAAAAAACTGAATACTGGTGTCTGTATGTAGTAGAGTTTAGGTAAACGTATATAATGGGGATTGAAAGTTAATGTATGCATTCATATTAACAAAGGTTGAACATGAAAACATTTGTAAGAGTCTATATAGGGCAGAGATATATTTCTCTTGATTTAATAGGAACTTTAATAAATATTTTAGGTTTTCAAACTTGTAATTAAATACAAATTTTGTAGCACAACTGCATAGCCATATTAGTATTTGTTGGCATCTTGATTATGTTCTCAGAGTATCAGTTTTCAGAAAACTTCAAAAGCGAGGGCCAGTTATGAACTGTTTCTTTGAGCATATGGGACAGAACAGTTGGCTTACATGTGTAATCTGTATCAACTATTTTGATAGCCTGCGATGGTAATAAGAAGCAAGTACATTCTCAGCAGAGGACAAATATGTCCCTTCCTTCTTCATTTGAGAACTGTGGGAGGGAATAGAAGCAACTGTCTTGAGTGATTATTTTAGTAAAATTATTTTTATCCAACTTGTTAATGTTAATGTCCCTTTTGACAAGAACAACTTCCTACATGGAGTTGATAGAAGATAAAACATATGTTTTTAGCAGCACAATTTAGCAGGTACTTTTTCTTATATACAGATGATGAAAATTATGAAGTAAGTAGTGATGAAGATGAACTACCTTTCAAGTGTTTTATTTGCAGAAGCTCCTTCAAGAATCCCGTGGTAACCAAGTAAGATTATCTTTTTTGTTAATTTTGATGTTTTTAAAGTGAGCTATGATCTTTAATACTGTAGTTTTGAGACTGATAGGTTGTCACACATCTATACAATCACATGTAAAAAATATCCTAGTATTTATATATAATTTACTACCTTAAAAATATTGATGGCCCTAAATAGATTCCTAATAAATGTACAATTGAAGTGACTAAAATGCATCAATTTACTTTATTACAGTCATAGAGACCAGATCAAATAAAAACACTCAGTAAAATGTTAATTGTATATTTACTGATTGTTTTTTTTATTTGTTCTGTTCTTTGGTCTATGACTGTAATAAACTAGATTGATAATTGATTAAAATGTAAGATATTCTTGAAAATGAAGTAACTCCAACAAAAAATAAAAATGCTAATCCTCTACTAGAAATTTGCAGCAATTGTCTTATGTTGTCTTAGGTGTAAACATTACTTTTGTGAAAACTGTGCCCTACAACATTATCGCAAGACTCAGCGATGCTATGTATGTGACAAACAGACTAATGGTGTCTTCAATCCAGCCAAAGGTATTTGGCCCATATTTAATTTTTACTTGGAGGCAGTGGGGAATGACTGCAGTTGATTTTATGACCATTTTATGTCAATTAAGTGAATGCTTCAGTCATTAAGTGAACCTGTCAAAATTACACAGCCTGTGTCCAAATGGAGTCAGAGATGCTGACATGAACCAGTTTTATATAAATAAATATATTTACAGTAAATAAGAGAGGCAAACAGGAGCATCATCAGGTAAAAATCAACAAAGCAGGAACATGAGGTAAATCACAGCGTGCGTGCACATGGGAAACAAGGAAATTCCCTTTTCATGCACAGCAACCAATCACAGGTCAGACATGCAATGGCCAGCTGTCTTCAACCAATTAGCCATAACTGTGTTTTTACTCATCCAATTATTCACTGCTCCAGGGATTAAATTTTAAATATCTTAAAAGAACACATATTTTATGGAGCAGTTTTTGCCAAAACATGGAAGTGGACACTGGTTTCTGAGGGGAAAAAGAAGTTTTAAATCAAGTCATGTGACTGCACTCTGCAAACAACTGTAAATGTGGATCAGTTGCCAAACACCCAAAATACTGTAACATAACCGCAGGGGGGGCTAATGTTAGAACTTTGAAACTGGATCATTACTAGATTTTGGGGGGGAGGAGTCTGTCATAACTTTGTATAGTCAGTAAGTGACAGGTTGTAAGTCAAGGGCAACTTGTACAAACAAAATATTCTCTCATGATAGAAATCAGATACAAAATATTTTTTCTTAATCGTGACTAGAAGTTTATGAGCAGAAGATCTGCATGTTGACATTTGCATGAGCACAAGGGATAGATCAGCAGAAGAGACTACTGCATATTCCTTAAAATACTTCTGGTAACTGATGTGGTTTATCTGTCAAGACATGTATTAAAGATAACAAAGATATGCTATTTTTCATACTAGAATACAAGACAGAAAATAGTGAAATTAATTTTGACTCTTAAGTCATGGGTGTCCAGCCTTTTGGCTTGCCTGGGCTGCATTGAGTGAAGAATTCTCTTGGGTTGCATAGAAAATATATGGTTGGTACATATAAATAACAATGTTAAAGATTTAGCATCATATTGAGGCCTTTACTAGCTGTTCAGGGATCCATGCATCCTGCAGGCTGAATAGTCCTGGTCTAAGTGAATGTTAAGTAGTGTAGCTAGATGCTGTTGCAAATAATTGTTAAGTGAGGTAAACAATAATTGTTAAGTGAGGTAAACAGCGCTTTGGGTTATAGACAAACTCAATTTTCATAATATATTTTTATTCTATAAGGAATATTTGCTTGAAAAGATCTTTAAAACACCTTTCCCTCTTCTAGGGATTCATTATTAGTAAACTTATTTGAAAAAGGGGTTGGAAAATAGATACACTAGTCTTACTTAAATATCACCCATACTATTTTAAACGCACATTGCTCCCGAGCTTAAGAGAACTAATCCAACATGAATTTAACTCTAAAATGATTAGAATTACATCTCCAAGCCTATGGAAAGTCTAACTCATTCAAGTCACTTTTTCTCTCTGAATAGGGAATTGTATCATATACATAGAATTCAGTTTTGTCTCTCATCCTGTGCTATGTTCCTCAGGATAATTTGTGTGGATCATGTTGTGAAGTATTACTTTTTTGTCCTGGATTTTGTTTTACAGAATTGTTAACAAAACTGGAAAAACATAAGGCTGAAGAAAGTCCCCTTGAAGATACTGGAGAACAAGAATAGCATTTTTTTACCATTTTCATGCCTTACGTCCTCCAGAGAAATAATTTGATTGTAGAATAAATAATTTATAGAAAAATAAATTGATCCATCATGCTTTGTGCTTCAACATATATTCCAAACTTTATAGATCAAGAGAAGTTTATATTACAGATAATAAAGAACATTATTGAAACAAAGTAATTCATTATTTTTTATTGCTTTAATATACTGAAAAAGGAAAAAAACAAAAAACAAGGAAAACAAAAAAATGTACAAAAACAGCAGCTCAAAAACTTTGAATTTCTGAAAGTTAAAGGAAATAGTTCTTCCTGTGCTCAAACAACTTCAGTATTCTAAAATGAAATAACTAGCAGAAATTAAATTGGCTGAACATCTGTTCTGTTGCTTCTCACATCTCCAGTTGGTCTTTTGAGGCATCGTATAAGAGTTCAAGACATTTCAGACAGTCCAAAGTACCGTATTTATCGGCGTATAACACGCACAGGCGTATAACACGCATCTTCATTTTAAGAGGGAAATTTCAGGGAAAAAAATTAAATTTCTAAATAAAAACTTTGAAGCAAAATAAGGGTAGCTCAGAACTTTTTTTTTATTAATATTATTACCACTTATAAGGTAAATCAGTGGTCCCCAACCTTTTTTGTACCAGGGACCGGTTTGAAGCAGAAAATTTTTGCAAGGGGGGGGGAGAGAGAGAGAAGAGAAGGAGGCTTCGCTCTCTCGCTGCTCCACCATCCAAGGAAGAAACTGCTTCAAAGAAGCGCGGGGGGGGGGCTTTTCCTGTCGCCGCAGCTATTCCGAAGCGCCCGTTTCACCCCCACTCCCACCCCGCGCGCGCTTCAATCCACCGTCAGTGTCCCATTCTGCCTGCCTGCCTGCCTGCCTTAGTTTCTGGTTGTTTGGGAGCAGCTTCGGCTGAGAATAATAACTATTCGCCTCTTTTACTCAGCCAAAGCTGTTCCGATTCAACCATTAACGAAGGCAGGCAGGCAGGCAGAACGGAGCACTGCGGGCGGGCGGGCGGGGTGGGGGTGGGGGAGAAACGGGCGCTTCAGGGAAGCTGCGGCGACAGGAAAAGCCCCCCCCCCCGCTTCTTTGAAGCAGTTTCTTCCTGTGCTGGTGGAGGAGCGAGAGAGCGACTGAGAGAGCTGACCCAGAGAGAAGGACAGGCTTCGGTTGCTTCCTCCCTCCCCTTCTTTCATTTGTGTCCTTGATCCCCGATCCCAGCAGCATTCACCGAAGGCTTCTTAACATTATATCGGCGTATAACACGCATACATCATTTGCCCCCTATTTTCAGGGGGAAAAAAGTGCGTGTTATACGCCGATAAATACGGTAGTTATCTTGTGATTGTAGTTTTGTTTTAAGTCTGTTTTTTATTTTTTGGGCATAGTACTATACTACATATTTCCATTATGTTACCTTTCGAATTTTAATAGCAAAGATATCATTTGGGCTTGCTAGCCTAATTTAGAGGCTTCTGTTTTTAAAAAAATTACAGGGAGTTCATAAAGGGCAGCATTTATTGAATAACATTGTGAAAATGCAGAAAATTTTAGTGGCAAGAAAACTAGATTATCAAATGCAGCTTAAGACATGAATACTTATCTGCAAATGCTACAGCTTGCCAGAAAAAATTTGGCTCAATGTTTCATTGAACAATGATTAAGAAAGTATATAGAAGAAGAACGAAAGATTACTACACGTTGGGACAATTCACTATAGAAAGGAATTCCAATTACGTTGTTAGATACAAATTATAGGTATCTTCATATTCTTCATATTCTTACTTGCTACTATTAAGCAATTCTAAGTAGATTTTTATTGGGTTTTTTTTTAAAGAGTGCATGGCACTCAGTTCCTTGGAACCACTGGCAAACCTACAAACATGTTTGATTAAAAAACAATTGAGCATATATATTTTATGTCTTAGAGCCAAAATTCAATACAATATTGTTACTTTTTTTCCTCTCAAAGCTCAGGCTTTATTTTAATGCAAATGTGAGCTGGAACCACTTCCTAAGAAAGACTGCAACGTAATCAGCAGTTTGCTTTATAATTTTTTTTTCACAATGCTCTTCTATTGGTAACCTAGAATTCCCAATCATCCATCTCAAGCTGCTCCATATTGGAAGCCAATCCAAATATATGGCTAGGATCTTGTGCCTGTATCCCTTCAAAACTGGTAATTGGCATGACAGGATACAACAGTTCAGGAAGTGCTTCAGATGCTCGATGTTTGATCTGGAAAAATGGGGAAGTAAAAAACATACTTAAATACTAGAATTAAAAACAATATGGTTAGATGCAATTTGACTCAGTCCATGTTTATGTACAACTCCACAGTGTCAGTTTTTCTATATAGGTAGCCCTTGACTTGTAAAACCACAATTGAACCCAGACACTTGGTTGTTAAGCAAAAAAACCATTAAGCCTGACATCACATGACTGCCTACCTGATGGCTTTGCTCAACAACTGCAATCCTGGCATTCTTGGTTTCGGTCATTTAAGCAATCCTACAGATTGTGGACAGTTTTAGGTAAAGAACATAGGATGCCTTGGGTGGGTGATACCCTGAGAAGTGCCACCCAGGAGCTGAAAATTTTCCCTGCTGAAATCCAAACAGGAGTTTTGATTATAGTTTGTCTATAGGAGCTGGCTATCAAAGGATGCATGGAAGGAAATGTCTTTGGTGGAATGCAGGAACAGAACTCTGATCCTGAAGATCTAATCCACCCCACCAAAGGAGATTAGCTCCTCTTGTGGTGTGGAAGTAAGTCCTTCAGTGTGGTAGAGAAACAGATCAGATCATCAGGTTATTTCTCTATCCCTCAAAATGCATTCAATTCCTCTTGGCAAATTCAGCCAGCCCCGGGGAATCATCTTGGCAGGTGACAACAATTTGAGAAGGAATCTTCTTGGCAGGTGGCAACAGCTTGTAATTTTCCCTGCTGGCTGCTTCTCCATTGATTTAAGATTGTAAGTGCAAACAGACTAACAAGTACCCTCATCGCAATCACACTGTGGAGGGGGGAAGAGGTGTGACATTTCATGTAAAATATCCTTTCCAAGGTCATCAAAGACTTCCTGTATCTGAGTGTTCTTTGTACATACAGGAATAGGAAATAATTTAGCATCCTAATTATGTGACAGACAACAGATAATCACAGTTGGAAGAAACCTTGTAGGTCATCTAGTCAAACCCCTGTCCAAGCAGGAGACCCTATACCATTTCTGACAGATGGGAGTCCAATCTCTTCTTGAAAGTCTTAAATGATGGCGCTCCCACAACTCCCGAGGGCAAACTGTTCCATGGGTTGATTGTTCTCAGTGTCAGAAAATTTCTCCTTATTTCCAGGTTAAATCTCTCCTTCAGTTTCCATCCATTATTCATAGTCTGGCCTTTGGGTGCTTTAGAACAGGGGTCGCCAACCTTTTGGACCTCAGGGACCACCAACCTCATAATTTTAGATCCCAGGGACCACTAACTGTTTCTGTGGGTGTGGCCTAATTTGTGGGTGTGGCTTGATGGTCATGTGATTGGCTGGGCCTGGCTTGTATGTAAATATTATAAATATTTATATAAATATTGAACTTTTTATAAAAAAAGAGCAACTTTTACCCAAAATCAGGCAAAGCAGGCAGGCAGATTGAGTTGCTCACAGAATCACAGATTCGTTCAGAAATCTATCTATTTACCATTGGCTAGCTCAGTCTGTCACATAAAATTTGTTTGCAAGCAAACTCACAAAATTAAGTCACAACACACCATGCATGTAAATATTGAATTTTTTATTAAGAGCAACTTTTACCCAAAAGCAGGCAAAGCAGGTAGATTGAGTTGCTCACAGAATCATTCAGTGATCTATCTATCTGCCATCAGCTAGCTCAGTCTCTCAAATTTGCTTGCCGTGAGTCTGCACTGAATTTGCTCGCAAGCAAACCTTCCTAAGGGAGGTTCGACTGTACTTAAAAGCAGAGCCGAAGATCGAAAGACTAGCTAGAAAGCAAGAAATCCAACCATTTCCTGCTTCCTAGCTAATCTAAATCTCCCGACACAGCAGAACAGATGATGGTTGGAAAAAGGAAAAATAGAAATTTAGCAGGCAAGTTTACAGGGTAAGGAGTGAGTGGGCAGGGAGGGTTCCCATGGGCCATGTGGGCGGCGCAGACTTGTGTTTCTACGCAGCCTGTATTAATTGCTTTGGGGGGGGTGCTCTGGGGGGTGAGATTTTTCTGCAGCCCACCAAAATTTTCTCGCGGCCCACCAGTTGCCGACCACTGCTTTAAAAAATAGCTTGACCCCTTCCTCTGTGTGGCAGCCCCTCAAATATTGGAACACTGCTATCATGTCTCCCCTGGTCCTTCTCTTCACTATTATCTTTTCCAGAATCTTCCCGGGTATTGATGTTAGGCTGATTGGTCTGTAGTTTCCAGGGCCTGGTTTTTTCCCCTTCTTTGAAGATGGGAACCACATCAGCTCTTTTCCAGTCCTCTGGTAGTTCCCCAGTGCTCCAGGGTTTTTGAAAGATATGGTGCAGTGGTTCTGAGATGACCTCTGCCACTTCTTTTAAAACTCTGGAGTGTAATCTGTCAGGCCCCGGTGATTTGTGTTCATCAAGATCAGAGAGGTGTTCTCTTACTATTTTTTTTTTTTGTGTGCTTATTTTAATTTTTATTTCTGGTCTGTCTATTACAGTTATGTTTTTGGTGGGTTAAGCTATAGTTTTTGTGTGAAGACCAATGCAAAGAATGAGTTAAGCAGTTCTGCTTTCTCTCTGTTGCCTGTTACTTCCTTGCCATCTTCTCTTAGTGGACCGACTGCTTCCTTGCTTTTTTTCTTGTTATTTATAAGTTGGAAGAAACTTTTTTTAAAATTATCTTCAACTTTTGTTGCAATCTTTGTTCGTTCTGAGCTTTTGCTTTCCTGACTTCGTCTTTGCAGATTCTGGCTATCTGCTGATATTCTGCCTTAGTTGTATGTCCTTCTTTCCATTTTTTGTATTTGTCCTTTTTTTTTGTTCAATTTTCCAGAGAGATCTTCGTGCAGCCGTACTGGTTTCTTCTTGGATTTCTTTCTCAATGGTATTATGCTGGTCTGGGCTCCTACAGGTAAAATTCAAAAAATTAGAATATTGTGCAAAAGTTCATTTATTTCAGTAATGCAACTTAAAAGGTGAACCTAATATATGAGATAGACTCATTACATGCAAAGCAGGATAGTTCAAGCTGTGATTTGTCATAATTGAGATGATTATGGCTTACAGCTCATGAAAACCCCAAATCCATAATCTCAGAAAATTAGAATATTGCGAAAAGGTTCAATATTCTAGGCTCAAAATGTCCCACTCTAATCAGCTAATTAAGCCATAACACCTGCAAAGGGTTCCTGAGCCTTTATGGGAAATGAAGAACAATCATGGGAAAGACCGCTGACCTGACAGTTGTGCAGAAAACCATCATTGACACCCTCCATAAGGAGGGAAAGCCTCAAAAGGTAATTGCAAAAGAAGTTGGATGTTCCTAAAGTGCTGTATCAAAGCACATTAATAGAAAGTTATGTGGAAGGAAAAAGTGTGCAAGAGAAAGGTGCACAAGTAGCAGGGATGACCGCAGCCTGGAGGGGATTGTCAGGAAAAGGCCATTCAAAAGTGTTGGAGACTTTCACAAGGAGTGGACTGAGGCTGGAGTCAGTGCATCAAGAGCCACCACACACAGACGGATCCTAGACATGGGCTTCAAATGTCGTATTCCTCTTGTCAAGCCACTCCTGAACAACAAACGTCAGAAGCGTCTTACCTGGGCTAAAGAAAAACAAAACTGGTCTGTTGCTCAGTAGTCCAAAGTCCTCTTTTCTGATGAGAGCAACTTTTGCATCTCATTTGGACACCAAGGACCCAGAGTCTGGAGGAAGAATGGAGAGGCACACACTGCAAGATGCTTGAAGTCCAGTATGAAGTTTCCACAGTCTGTGTTGATTTGGGGAGCCATGTCATCTGCTGGTGTTGGTCCACTGTGCTTCATTAAGTCCAGGGTCAACGCAGCCATCTACCAGGAGATTTCATGCTTCACTTCATGCTTCGTTCCACAGACGAGCTTTATGGGGATACTGACTTCATTTTCCAGCAGGACTTGGCACCTGCCCACACTGCCAAAAGCACCAAAACCTGGTTCAATGACCGTGGGATTTCTGTGCTTGATTGGCCAGCAAACTCGCCTGACCTGAACCCCATAGAGAATCTATGGGGCATTGCCAAGAGAAAGATGAGAGACATGAGACCAAACAATGCAGAAGAGCTGAAGGCCGCTATTGAAGCATCCTGGTCTTCCATAGCACCTCAGCAGTGCCACAGGCTGATAGCTTCCATGCCACACCGCATTGAAGCAGTAATTGCTGCAAAAGGGACCCAAACCAAGTACTGAGTAGATCTGCATGCTTATACTTTTCAGAGGTCTGATATTGTTCTATGTACAATCCTTGTTTTATTGATGGCATGTAATATTCTAATTTTTGGAGATTGTGGATTTGGGGTTTTCATGAGTTGTAAGCCATAATCATCTCAATTATGACAAATAACGGCTTAATCTATCTTGCTTTGCATGTAACGAGTCTATCTCATATATTAGTTTCACCTTTTAAGTTGCATTACTGAAATAAATGAACTTTTGCACAATATTCTAATTTTTCGAGTTTCACCTGTATGATCGTACTTTTCAGAGTTTCCCCAAGATTCTTGAGTTGTTTTTCCCTTTAGGATTTTCATCCATGGAATCTTTTCCAAGTTCTCTCTGAGTTTATTAAAATCAGCTCTTTTAAAATCTAAGACTCTAGTGTCATTTTGTTCTATTGCTTGTGTTTGTGTTCTGTTGAATTCTAATATGACATGGTCACTCCTACCCAAGGTTCCTGCAGTTTCAACTTCCTCTATCACTTCTTCTCTATTTGTAAGAATTAAGTCCAGTATGACTGTCCCTCTAGTTCCATCATCTACCTTTTGGACAACAAAGTTGTCAGCTAGGTTGGTTAGGAACTTATTTGATTTCTCACTTGGTGCAGAATTAGTTTTCCAATTGATATCAGGATAATTGAAGTCCCCCATTACTATTGTAGTGTTTTTCCTGCATATGTTTGTTAGTTGGTTGGCAAAAAGGACATCTATATTTTCTGCTTGATTGGGCAGCCTATAATATACACCTATGGCCATGTCATTCTTTTTTTCTTTTATATTGACCCATATGCATTCTAGGAGGTTTGAGTTCATCCATGGTTTGTTCCCCAGACTTTGTGCATTTGTATATAGGCACTTGAGATCTTTATGTCTGAGACTGTGTTTACTGTCTACATAACCTGTGTTGTGCCTGACTGCCCCTACTTTCTTGCCACCTGTTTGATTAGTGCCTATATAATCACTGAATAAATACAGCAGAATTTTACCTCTCATAACTACTGAAAAAAATAGAGCAGAGTTCTTGGTTTCATCTTTTATAGCATACTCTTGCTGAGAATGCTGAATTACATTAGAAGTATGTACTAAAAATCAGGTTGTTGAATGCCAAAGGCCTTTAGCTCTTAGAAATTCTGCCAAACTTTTGTGGATTGTGTATGGTCAGACAGAATCAAAACTTTTTGATTATTGGGAGTTTGGGCTAAGAAGAACATCTGCAAAGACCTTTGGGGAGGGATGAAAGAATGGCATACCACTTTTTACTCTTCTGCACAGCCTGCCATTCTTCCCAATGCTTTCCTTACCTCCCCTTGTGAAACCAAGGATTTCACTGGTGGTTGCTAAGGGAAAACACTATTCCTGAAAGAGCAGAGAGAAATGAGCCAATTGGATATGTTATACCTGAAACAAAGGAGTTGAGTAACAGTAACTATCCAACTAGTTTATCCTCTTGCTCAGACCTTTCATAACATCTTCTTCCTGTTAGTTTTTCCTCAAAACCATTTCTGAGAAGAAAAGGCATGACTGGTCCTTGTCTCAAATTTCAATCCAGATACATACAGGTCACTAGAAACCAGCTTTTCTATATCAGAATGTAAAATTTTATAAGAACCAAAGACTAAACTTAGCTCCTATCTCCAGCCCCTACAGAATCTCAACAGACAATAAGGACTCAATGCAAATTACAAAATTCTGGATCTCCAAAATGTATGCATTTTTATAAATGCAAAAGAGCACAATTCTGCAAGAGCATAATTCTTATTTTAAAATTTCTATCTAGATTTTTCAAAAGTTGACTTCCAACAACAGCTCTCTGGCCCACCACACGCCTGACATCACGACATCAGGATTGAGTTGTCAAAATCATACATTTGCCAGACGTTTGGGTTCAAATACAGCAAAAATTACTGGGAATACCAAATTGAAAATGAAAAGGCCAAGATGACTTTGGAATCCAAACACAAGATATCTGGCCCACAACATGCCTGACATTACTATTGTGGAAAAGAAAAAAGTCTGGTTCAGTGATATTGCAATACCAGGTGATGCACGAATTGATGAGAAACAACTAGAAAAAATAACAAAATACCATGATCTGCAAATTGAAGTTGAGAAATGATTGGTACATTCATTGGTAATAGGAGCCCTGGGAGCAAAACCCAAAGGAATGCTAGATCCGTGATGGTGAACCTATGGCATGCGTGCAGGAAGTGGCACGCAAAGCCATCTCTGCTGGCACGTGAGCTGTTGGCCCAGAGCAGGTCCACTGCGCAGGAGTGCGCTGCCCACCAGCTGATCGAGTAGCTGCCGCGCATGTGCAGGGTGTGCGCAGGAGATGCACGCTCATGCATGCGCAAAAACGCATGGTGCACATGGGGGCTCGTGTGTGCATGCACAGGGGGCATGGCCCCCCCGTGTGCACTGTCTTATGGGTGCTGGAACGCATGTGCACGTGCACACTTTTGGCATGCGAGGACGGAAAGGTTAGCCATCACTGGTCTGGATACATGGAAATTTTGAACTTACTAAACCTGAACGTTCTGACTTTGCACAAAAAACTATCTTACTCAGAACTGCCTATTTTCTCAAGACAGTTACCTGAATAGGTACTTAGTTAGGACTTGAACCATTAAGTTTTTACCACTCCCAGACTATGAATCAAATTGAGGATTAAATCAATAATAATAATTATAATAATAACAATTCCCAGACTGTGAATTGAATTGAAGATTAATCATAATAAAGCAAATTAAATTCAAAATTTTAAAACAGTTTCATATTGTTTTGTTTACATATTTACAGAAATGGTTCCAAAGCAGCAGTACATTCTTGTCTCTCCTACTTACTCTATCCACCAATACAAGAGTGAGAAAAGGATAAAATATGTCAAGACAAATAGATGAATCTTACCTGTTTGAAAAAAGAATGGTTCAGCAATGCATTTGCACTTGGCCTATGTATGAAAAAAGAGAGGTTGTACACCATCATGTAAAAGATGCAGAAATTAGAGAAGATCAAGAAACTTCTCCATTCCAAATATATATAAGATTCAAATATGGAAAAAATATGGCTGAGAAAAAGAACAATCTCAATATCAAAAACCAGGATACTGGCTCTGCAATAGTTTTCTATGGCAGGCATGCCTATTTTTATTTTTTAAATGAATGCATCTGAGCTTTTCCAGGATGAAAAGAAGTTGTCTCAGGGAGCAGCAGTGAATACTCTGCTCTGCACTCTCTGAACAAGCCAGAGAAAAGCAAAATAAGAGACCACCTTCAGTTTTGGAAAGCCAATTTTATGTTACCAGTTGTTGCCTGGCAGTATGTTATTTGCTCTCAATCGATAGAATGAATAAAAGGGTATTCTCTAAGACAGATGATATCATGAGAGCCATTCATTCAAACTTACATGCAACTATTTTTCCTAAACACAAAGTCAGTGCTTGCTAGACATTCTTGTCCAGACTCAGGAGGAAGAGTGAGATTTAGTCTCATCTTCTGCTGATAGCGACCTGACCAAGGTTTACCATGCACATTAGACTAACAATAAGGAATGAATACTATCCACAAGTCACCTCTGCACCAGGTACTGTCTCACATTAGCATAAATCCATAGTTCATATAAGCAAAGAATGGAGGCAAACAAGTAACTCAATTCTGAGTTTACTTAATTATCAAAACATCTGATTTGCAGAGGGATTCATTTGAAAATTCTATAATCAGTGGAACAAGATATTATGCATGGAATGCATATGAATATCTAATTTCAGCAATTCTACTGCCAACAGCAGTAGAATTTTTCCCCTGGAAAATGGCTTTAGTTGGCACTGGTTCTTGGGAGTTTTTGGCAAATTTCAGGAAACAAAACATCACTACTTTGTTTGGTTCCCTTGTGATATAATAATATTTATTCTTCTCTTTGTCAAAATTATTCATGAAAGAAATCAGATTACATTGGCATAGTGCATGGATATCTGAGGGATCACCTGTCCTCAACTGTTTCTCCCCATCTGATACACTTCAAAATAGTGGATGCATTCCAGGTTGCCTCTAGTAAATATTGTCATCTTGTGAGAACAAGGAAGCCTGTCTTCTCTATTGTGATCCCTACCCAGAAATTTTCTCAGAAAGCTAGTGTCCTTTATGGGGATTTGAAAAGCTCTGAAAACCTATTTTAATGTGTTTCTGGGGCCCTAATGTGGCTTTTCCGATTATTATGACTGCTTAAGTCTAGGCTGCCTAAATTGGTGCATGTTTTCAAGTATTTTTTGTTCTTGGATTTTGCCAGCTGTTTGCTGGACAGCTGCAAAAAAAATTAAACCAGTACATCATTAAATGAGGGTATATGCTGCCAACTAGACACAAGAGTTTTTTTCCAAACACCATCACTCTGCTAAATAAATAATTCCCTCAACATTGTCAAACTGTTTACTAAGCCTGCATTACTATTATTACTCCTCCCTTCCTTTCACCCATCTCCTCCCACTTATGACTGTACGACTGTAACTTTGTTGCTTGTATCCTAACAATTTATATTTACTGTTTCCTAGGATGATTTTTTTTTATAAATAAGCATTACTATTACTACTATTAATCCTCTCATCCTTCCTTTTACTCATCCCTTCCCACTTGTGACTGTGTGACTGTAATTTTGTCACCTGTATCCTTACAATTTATATTTACTGTTTCCTAGTATGATTTGATTGCTTATTGTACCCTATGGCTAGTATTAAGTATTGTACCTGATGATTCTTGACTATTGATGAATGTATCTTTTCTTTTATGTACACTGAGAGTACATGCTCCAAAACAAATTCCTAGTGTGTCCAATCACACATTTTAGTGGGGAGGAAAAGCCTTTTTTTAAAAGGGAGGGAAGTAATTTTTAAAATATTTTTGAAGTAATTTCTATTTGAATGAACCCATTTTCTGCCAAGCTGATTATTATTATATAGCTTGCCTTAGAGGAAGCTGAAAGAAACATGGGAATTTAATATATTCTTTTAAAAAGAACATACATTCTAACCTTTTTAAAAAATCTTTTCAATAAACATATCCCAAGGAAAATGATGCTTTAAAGCCCTTTGAGGTAACAATGAATTGCATCCATTTTTTCTAAAGGAAATATGTTAAAGCTTCAAAAAAAAATATTGATTGATTTTTTCCCCTACAAGTTGGTTAGTTGGTAGCAACATGGACTACAATGTCATGTAGACTTGCCATTAGATGAAAAGAAGGAGCCAAAAGATTCATTTTGCATTTCCATTTTTTTACCATTGCTGAAACGATCAGAAAAAAGGTTTTCTCTTTACCTGCATCACTAAACTAAACTTCCTTGCTTTTTTAATTTTTCAAGTTTTTTATCTGACAAATTTATATTTTCATTTATATTTTTATCATTGATTCCAAGAATAACCAATTCCACAAACATATAACATGTTTAATCATCCCAAACCATTCAAACCTTGCTCTTTGGCATGGAAAAACTGATTTCACAGGAATATAGTATTTACATCTTTTGCAACACTTCATATTATGCTTCCAAATACCACTGAATACTGTTAAATATTTTAGCTCTGACTTTAGCTCCACCACTTCACAGATTATCATATCTCCCGAACTTCACTCTTTTCACTATACCTCAAGTCTGGGTTCCTTTGCAAGCACTGCTCTACAAAGTTGTGAAAATATGATGAGAAAGTACGGTGGTAAGGATGCAGTGCTGCTTCACCATTAGAGGCTCTAGCATTGCTGGCTGCCATGCCTTCTCCAAGACTACTGCTAGCCCCAGAGCGTGATGGCTTCATAGTCAGTTCCTCTGGAGGAATAGTAGTTGTGTCTAGTAGACAAGGGACAGTTCCATTGAGTTTCTCCAAAAGCATCTGAAGCATGAGAACAAAATGTTTGTTGAAAGTATCACATTACTGTAGAGCAGTTAATGTTATAATAATTCTAATGGCTTTGCTGTCATATATACAGTCAGGAACTGAAGTGAAAGGGAAACAGAAAAATCTCCTACCTGCGTTGCAGGCATATCTTTGAATGGAACATGGCCATTTGCTAGCTCACAGGCTGTTATTCCAACACTATAGATATCAGATTTTGCATCATAGCCTTGCAGGTTCTAAAATCAGAAAAGCAAAACAGTACTGAGTTATAAATGTTATTCAATGAAATTTAAATTGAAAAATACACAAGCTAAGCATATCATAATTACCCCCATATCAATCCATTCATCAATCAGACAATGCTTTTATTGCAGCATCAATATCAGACAAAAAGTTTTCTTAAGAATGAATAAAAAAATATTGAAACTTCTAGTCAGAATACCAAGTAATTTTAAAAAGACATTATCTGAAGCTGTTCAGAAATAAATTGTAAAATGGGTGATGAAAATGTATGCCATGCACACTTAAAGGTTGAGAAACGTTAACACCAAGAAAACTAACATACCTGCTGCAAGACCTCTGGACTAAGCCATGGTAGAACTTTGATGCTAAATTTGGGGAAATCATGAACCACTTTGAGACGCTGACCATGGCTGATCATACTGAGGTTACTACGCAAACCAGAAAGATATACTTTTCCATCTGCAGAAATCAGGATATGACTGGCCTTCACACTCCTACATGCAAAAAGGGCAGAAAGAAAACAGCCACAAACCCCCATCCATCCAAACCAACTCCATTTTATACCGAAAAACAAAAGTCTGGAATGTGAGAAAGAAGGTATTGTTGAGAAGTGCAGCTAATATTTGCACCGTGGCAATATTAATCTGAGCAAAAAGTCAAAGCTGGCAATAATTATTTTACTAGTTAACATAAGGCAATTATCTTCTTACCTATGAACATAACCCATATGGTGTATATAATCCAGAGCTTTTAATACTCCTTGAAGGATGTAAGCCATAGCTAATTCACTCATACCATCCATAAAATGTGTACGTATTAAATCTTTAGCAGAACCTTTAAAAAGAGAATGAATACAATATTATGATTTGATATAGTCCTGAAAATATTAATAGACTTATATTCTATTATCTATAAAAATCAGAAAGATGAGAAACAATTAAATGTAAAGTTGCAATTCTATTTCACAAAAAGGGTGTTGGTACTTACCTGATACGCTCGTTCTCTGTGAGCTGTGAAGAGCATCCAGTGATGGGAAGTGCTTCAGTCCCTTCTAGGAAGGCTGGGCTTAAACTTGAGGACACTCCTCTTCCTCCTCCTCCACGAGACTCCTCCTCAGCGTCCCCAGTTTTGCGAAGCCAAGGTATTGATACCCTATATGCTTAAGCCTATGTAATAACCCTGGCTGGAACAGACTCCCTACCAGGCAGAATAAAAGGGAGGGGATGGATGCTCTTCACAGCTCACAGAGAACGGGCGTATCAGGTAAGTACCAACGCCCTTTCTCCCATGAGCTGTTCAGAGCATCCAGTGATGGGACATACCAAAGCTTGGCACTGTCCTAAGGGAGGGACTCCATCTGGGTTGCAGACCTGTCTCTGAAATAACTTGCTGCAAAACTCTCCTACCAAATGAAGCCTCAGCAGAAGCAAATACGTCAATGTTATAATTTTTAATAAATGGAGATGGAGAAGCCCAGGTTGCAGCTCGGCAAATCTCCTCCTTTGTAGCTTGGGTTGCTCATGCTGCTGTGGTGGCTACACTCCTCGTGGAGTGAGCGGTAATGCCTTGGGGCACTGGAATTGAGAGTCATACGACTTAGTGATGGTGGCCCTTAGCCATCTACCTATGATAGAGGGTGAAACCTTGCGCCCCAGGGTGTTAGGCTGAAAGGACACGAAGAGGGCTTTTGTCTTTCTAGAGGGCACCATGCGCTCTATGTAGATGCATAAGGCTCTTCTTACGTCCAAGCGGTGCCATTGGTGTTCAAGCCTGTGTGATGAACGTGAGCAAAAATTTGGGAGCACCATCTCTTGAGCTCTATGGAATGCCGAATTAACTTTTGGAATGAAGGAGGGATCTGGTCTGAGAACCACTCTATCCGAATGGAAAATGCAGAGATCTTTGCGCACTGATAATGCAGCTAGTTCGGAGATTCTTCGGGCAGATGTAATTGCTATCAGGAAAATTACTTTGTAGGTTAGAAATCGAAGCGTTGTGGTCCTTAGTGGCTCGAAGGGACCTGTAGTAATGGCCAATAGTACCTTATTTAAGTCCCAAGTTGGACATCAGTGCACTACGGGGGGCCTCAAGTTCTTGGCACTGTGCAGAAAACTGCGAATGCGAGGGTGATGAGATATGGAGGTAAGATCATCCCAAGATATGACTGAAGCCAGGGCCGCCACCTGTCTCCACAGAGTATTGGGTGATAACCTCCTGTAAAAATTCTAATAACTGCGCTACTGATGGGGAAGTGGGGTCGATCTGAACCTACTGACACCAACAGCAGAAACTAGACCAGGTGGCCTCATAGATTCGGTTCGTCGATGGACGTCGAGCTGACTGAATAGTGTGACTAACTTGAGTAGAAAGGTGTTCATCTCTCAGACGTCGCCGTTCAACTTCCATACAGCTAAGTTTAGCCATTGGGGGTCCGGGTGTAGCACTGGGCCTTGAGACAGCGATATGACCGATGATGGGATCCTCAACAGTGGTACCGTCGAAAGGTCCTTCAGGTCCACGAACCATGCTTGCCTTGGCCAATAAGGAGCCACTAATAGCAGGTCCTCTTTTTCTTCCAGCATCTTCTGGATCAATTTTGGGATCACGGGGAGGGGAGGAAAAGCGTATAGCAGTCTGGTGGGCCAGTGACATCTGAGGGCGTTCACGTCCTCCGCTCCCTGCGATGGGTAACGAGAAATGAATTGGGGAAGCTGTGCATTGAGTGGGGAGGCAAACAGGTAGACTACCAGTCGGCCCAACCTCCAAGTAGCCTCCAGAAAGATCTTGGGGTCCAGACGCCACTCTGATTGGTCCAATGTGGCTCTACTGAGCCAATCTGCTTGTACATTCGCTACTCCAGATATGTGCTCCGCCTTTAGAGAGAGAAGATGGATTTCAGCCCACAGGTATAGTCTTTCTGCTTCCCTCATTAGTAGATTGGAATGAGTGCCCCTTTGTTTGTCTGATATGGGCCTTTGTAGTTACGTTGTCTGTTAAGATGAGCACATGTTTGCAATGGAGATGCGGGAGGAATTGTCGAAGTGCCAAGTACACCGCTCTCAGTTCTAGCCAGTTGATATTGTGTGCTTTCTCTGAATCCGTCCAAAGGCCTTGGCTGTATGTGATTGAAGTGGGGGCCCCATCCCACTAGACTGGCGTCTGTTGTAACAATCGACCTGTGCGGATCCTTGAAAGGGCATCCCTTGTTCATTTCGGGTCGTGTCCACCATCGTAGAGACCTGAGAACGGTTGATGGAACTTTTACGCAAGTCCTGGCGTTGTCTCTCCCGGCGCGTTGGTATGGCAACAGGAACCATTGCAGGGTTCTTGCATGGAACCGGGCCCAAGGGATAAAGAAATACAAGAAATCATTTTTCTGAGCAATTTAGAAAGGAGACATAGTTGTACTTTCCTAAGAGTTCTGATCTGTTGAGCCAAATCTCTAATGTTTTCTTGTCTGTCAGGGGAGAGGAAAACTTTGCCTTCCAGGGTGTCAATGATGGCGCCAAGGTGAATGAGTCTAGTAGAGGGTGTTAAATGACTTTTTGACCAATTGATTGAGAACCCATGTTGTTGTAGGGTTACAAGTGTAGTTTGAGTGTTTGAATTTGCTTGGTTGATGGAAGATGCCAGAATAAGAATGTCATCCAAGTAACATTGAAGTTGGATGGACTTATCTCTGAGTGATGCTGCCAAGGCAGCCAAGACCTTTGTAAAAGTTCTGGGAGCTGAAACTAGGCCAAATGGGATAGCAATATATTCGTAATGGACGTTGTTGTAACAGAAACCAAGGAATTTGAAATGTGAGGGCCTAATTGGGATATGTAAGCAAGCTTCTGTGAGGTCTATGGAGGTAAGGACATCATTTTTTTCTGATGATGAGTAAGATGGATTGGAGAGTGGTCATTTTAAATTTTCGGTGAACTAAATATAGGTTTAGATGTTTTAAGTCCAGGATTGCCCTCCATCCCCCTGAACTTTTAGGGACCACGAAGAGGTGCGAATAAAAAACAAGACCTTGTTGATTAGAAGGGACGGGTTGTATGGCCCCGATCTCTAGTAGATGTGCTATGCCTGTGTCCATGAGAAACCTTTTTTCTGCATCCCTGGAAATTGGGAACTTCATAAAGAAATCCAGGGGTGGGGGTGGAGCTGAACTCCAGTGCCAGACCAAATCGTACTGTGTTCCCGACCCATGCATCAGTGGTAGAGGAGTCCCATTGGTCGGCAAACCTTTTTAGGCGACCACCAATGGGAATCTCATTGTGGTCATTACTTGGACCTGCGGAAGGGCCTAGATCCTGTTCCTTGAAATTGTTTCCTAGGATGGAGTCCCCTTCTATATCTGTCCTCAGGTTCAATTCTATCTGTCTGTTGTCTGAATCCAGGCTGTCTTTGAAATCTTGGATAGTAGGGTTGGTAGAAGGGGCGAAAGGAACCCCTATGAAAGGGCTGTGGTGATCTGGACTCTGATCAACGAAAAAGAGATGGAAGAATTTTCTTTTTGGTTCCGGTTTCAATTAGGAGGGGTTCAAGCGCACTGCCAAATAGTTTGTTCTCCAAAATGGGAGCTGAGGCAAGCCACCACTTGTGCTTGACGTCTGCCTGCCAAAGTAACCTTCTAGCCGCAATTTGGGAAGCAATGGCCCTAGAGGAAAATTTAACTACATAGAAGGTAGCGTCTGCTGAAAACTCTGCAGCTGCGATTAATTTAGCCACATCTTGATGTGCCCTAATGTTTGAGGCTGGAATGGTATCCCCCAGGTGGCGGAGCCATCTGAGAGATGATCTGGTGAAAAAGGAGGCGGCTGTGGCCGCTCTGATGGCCCATGCATCCGAGACGTGTGCCCTGCGGAAGGCTAATTCCGCCCTGTTTTCCTCAGGCTTGAGAGCCTCTTCAGCTTCACTTGGGATGGCTGAGGAAGATGCAAGCGCAATGATAAGTTCGTCCATTTCCGGAGTGTTTAGAAATTTAGAGAACTCGGGTGCCAAATTATAGTATTTTTTATCATGTCCTGTGGGAGCGGGATATGAGGCTGCTGCAACCCATTGTTTTTGCACTAAATTGGAAAACATGTGTGGCACAGGTATAACCTCTGCCTCAGTGACTGGTTGAGAGAATATGAGATCCTCTGCTTCCCCTGGAGTATTTGGTGGGGTACCCGTATTATCTAGCCGTGCAGTGTTCTTGGCCTTAAATAGCAAGGATTTAAATAATTGTGGGTGGAATAATCCTTTAAATACGGGGAGGTCAGGTGAGAGGCCTTCATCGTTAGACATCCCCCTTTTTAGCGGATCCACCTTTGACAATACCTGGTCAACGGTGTGTACCAACCCCTCCTCCATTTGATCCATTAGATCCCCTTGATCTCCCATATTCTGTGTGTACTGAGGGTCTCTGACAGTGGGCAATGATAGTTCTGCGGGGGGGGGGGTACCTGATGAAAATGTGGATCCGTGATGCCCAGAGATCGTTCAGAAAGAGATCCGCAAACTGAAGCTGAGGGTGTTCGTCCTGCCTGAATAGCCTGTTGGACGCCTGCTGATATGCCCTTCTGGATAGCTAGCTCCATCCATGCCCTCATGTTGGCAGGGATTTCCTCCGGAAGTTCCTCCTCTTGTCTGAGGCCAGCTGCAGTTGGCATAAATGTTGCCTCTGGGGTCCTCCTTGGGGAGAGAATGTTAGAAAGAGCCTCCTGGGGAGGTTGTATCGATATGCTGCTCCTTCTGGATAAATCCAGAGGGGCGGTTGGAGGGTTCTGGGCCTGTGAGGTAGAGGGTATGATGAGTGGTGAAGAGGTGGGCTGTGCAGCTGCTCGTGTATGTTTTTCCACCTGCCTTTCTAATGCCTGATGGCGTCTGCGTGCATCTTTCTCTGCTGCCTTAGAGGTCTTTTTGGGCTCCGTGGACTTATCTCTATTTTAAGCAGTTAGTCTAGATCTGGAGTTGTAGTTGCTGGCCATGGTAATGCCTTTGATATCAATGGAAAGAGGCTATGAAATTAGGTGGCTGGAACACCTAGGGGCCTGCTCCCTTAAGGGGAAGGGGATCCTGGAATAAATAGTTCCCCGATGCCTTTAGCAAATGTTGTCTCCTTGTCCTGTTTTGCTTTGTTATCTATCTATCTATCTATCTATCTATCTATCTATCTATCTATCTATCTATCTATCTATCATCTATCTATCTATCTATCTTTTAATAACTTAAAGATTTGTAGAATTTAAGTCAATCAAGTCAATTTTTGAATAAAGTACTTGTAATATCAAATATGGACACCAGAACACTCCCCTCCAGAGCTGGCACCTATATGAGGGCACAGAGGTCTGTAACTGATAATTAGATCAGTTTAGCTGCACTTATTGCCTATGGAATCCAGCAGTTCAAGTACTCTATCATCCAGTGGACTGGTGGTAGGGACTCCCCCTTCCCAGGTCCCCAAAAAGGGAAACCTTGTTGGGTAACTTGCCTCACAGACAGTAACAATTACTCAGCAAATTTAACCACACGGCCTTTAAAATGCTGGCTGCCTCATGGCAGAATGTAAACGAAAGCAGCAATCACCGCCTGGCCTGCTGAAAGCAAAAGTGCTCAGCAGGAAGGCGCAGGGGTTAATTCCCTGCCCTGAGGTGTTCTGCGGGGAAAGCCATATAATAAAAAGGAAAAAAGGCTGCAATTTTAAATGGAAGCTTCAAACCTCGAAGGGACAGAGTGTTTACTCAGCCGGCTGGGAGATCGGAGAGATAAGCCTCCTTGTTTAGAAGTTTAAGGCAGCATGTCTCTGAAAGGAGAGGCTTTTAGCCTCAGAGAAAATTGGAAAGATAAGCCTCCCCGTTTATGAGGCTTTAGCCTCAGGCGGCTGGAACATAAAAAAACAAAACAAAACAAAAAACCGAGCGAAATGACTTTTGGAGGTTCCCAGGGTGGTGGTTGGTGACAGAAACTATGGTATTACCTGACCTGAGAAATAAATCAGCTAAATCAGCTAAATTGCCAGTGTTCTGTTCTGACCAGGAAAACAATAACACAACCCGTCTGAAGAAAGGCTGAGCTAAAACTGGGGACGCTAAGGAGGAGTCTCGTGGAGGAGTGTCCTCAAGTTTAAGCCCAGCCTTCCTAGAAGGGACTGAAGCATCTCCCCATCACTAGATGCTCTGAACAGCTCATGGGAGAAGGCTTAAGTTTTCTCATTCTTTATGAAGGCTATTTTCTACATCAGCAATGGTGAGTATGAGAGAAACCAGAGATTTTCATAAGGAACAAGAACCAATGGGATATAAAATCTACTGTTGGACTAAGTTTAGGAAGACTTAGGTTCAAATTACTACTTAGTTAGGAAGCTAAGCTTTGTGAATTTGGACCAGTCACTATTAGACTAACAGTACAGTAATTTTTCAAATCAAAAGGAAAGAACCATGTACACTGAAATGAGGTCTTAGAAAACATACAACATTTATATTTAATCATTTGATATGATAGTTAGAATATGTTTTCCCTGGAAAGTTCATGTGCAGAATTCTCCCAAGTATAGATGAAAATTGAGGAGCTGCAGTTGTCCTTAATGGATCTTCTTTCTCCATATTGACAACAGAAGAATAACTTCTTGTTTCCTTCAATCTAACCTATTCCACTCTCCTATTGTGAACATGATTCACAACCAGGACCTTCTTACCTTGTATTACCAAAAAGTGACTTGGTTCTAAAACACAAATTAACATAAAAATCAATATAACTGTCTATGTTTAGGGCGGCAATTACTGCAAAATCTAATATATGGAATAAAACGTAACTTTATGGCTCTTTTATTTTAATGCTGCCACTAATTACTATCAATGCCTGAATATGCTTTCATTACATCATAAAAACAAATCCTGTGTGAAAGATCAAGAAAACCCTTCCTATTCTTACTTACCATATGCCATGAATGATGTAATTCTTACTTACCATATGCCATGAATGATGTAACAACCCATAGTTCATTGTCAGCTATGAAGGCTGCTTTATATGGCACTAAATTGGGGTGGCTGAAGAATTTTGAGACATGAAGCTCACCCTAAAATCCAAAATGTAACAAGTTATTCTTGGTAAATCAGACGTGAGATATGGAATAAGATATCCAGAGGGAATTAAATAATAATAATTAGCAATATAATATAGTATTCTGTTAATAATGTAATTTATTCATTCAGATTTTTATCTGGCAATCACAGTTCATGGAGACTTTAGTGACTAACAGCAGAGGCAGGAAGAACAACTGAAATAAAATATTATTATCCTTTTTCCAGATATATTAAATTGATCCCTGTAGGAACAGAATACAGGACCCAATGGGCTTCATTCATAATAATTCTTATGTTCTGTTGTAGAATTGTCATATATTAAGCTGGATAAGAACTAAGAACACTTCTAGGTGGGACCAACCAACCAAATTTGGCATGATTGCTAGCTTTACCTGCAAAAATGCTACCATCTCATTGCTGCAGACTTCTAAGTTGACTCTCCGGACAGTGACAAATTCCCCACTTGGTTTATATTGTGCCAGATTCACAGTCATTAATTCCTCAAAACCTTTTCCTGAAAAAAAATATGTAGCACCTTACAATACTATTTCAATCAAAATGAAACATTTAACATCTCAAACATTTTTTTGCACTTAGACATTTTAAAATTTTAGTTATGGTAGAATTCAGGAAAGTCATCTCCTTAATTTATATTTTAAAGCTCATTTCTTCAATCACTTTTTTGCTAGTAAATTTAAATCAATAACTGGAGAATAAAATAAATTCTCAATATTCTCTTAGTTGTCCACATTTTTCCTATTCATTTCTTCTTCCAGCTTGGGTCACCTATTATTCAGTATTCTTCATACAAATTTTCTTTTTTTTTTTTGTAACTATTTTATTTTATTCAAAAGATTAAAATCCAAGATTAAAAAAAATGAACAGAGACAAAATAAAACCTGGGCTGTCAACTTTGAAGCTGACAAGTTCAGTATTTTTAACCGCTGAGTCATTGCACCCTCTGTGTATTCAAACTAAGAGATGTGTTAAAACAGTGATCCCCAACCTTTTTTATGCCACAGCCCGGTACCGGCATCAGCTGGGCGCCACCATCTTTTTTTGATGAAAAAGTGCTTCCGGTGAGCTTTCTACCCGGAAAAGCTCACCGGAAGCACTTTTTCATCAAAAAAAGATGGCGGCACCCAGCAAACCAGCGGCCCGGTAGGACTTGTTCCACGGACCGGTACCGGTCCGCGGACCGGTGGTTGGGGACCCCTGTGTTAAAAGATGATATTGTGGCATTTGGTAGCTCATAATCCCAACACAATTCCCCCCCCCCCCCCCCATTTTTTTTCTTTTTCCTGGTCAACTAATGTAGGGATGGGGGCATTAGAGTATTATCTTCATATTCTTTATTATAATTCTTAAATAATTTCCTGTTATTACCATGCAGCTTAATTTAGTGGGATTAATTTAAAATATGTGAAGGGAAAGTAAGTACCTTGTCTTTAGATTTATAACAAGTTTGCAATTACAGTGGCCAACATTACCTATTATGGTCAGTAATTCATAACAACTGATGTCAGGCAGGTAACTGCTCATGTTATCCCTCTTCGGGGAAGATGCTATTGACTCTGAACTTGCTTCATTGGTCTAGAAGATAAAAAATAAGATATGGAAAATATTATAAGATCTGTAAAACAATATTGCATATATTTGGCACTATTTATATCAGTAGAGAGAACTAGAAAACATCTTTTTAGAGGTAGTATCATCTCTAAAACATATTTTTAGGAAAATTAGGTGTAAAATATTATCCAAGTCTTTATACAATGTTTGACTGTATTTCTTGCTGAATCTGTCACAAGAAGCATTTGTTCTTTTACAAAATTGTTACTTCTAAATAGACATACACATCTTTATTATTGTTCAAAACATGCAATTCAATATATCTAGGTATATATTTGTAATCCCGGGATTGACATATTATATAGCTTTTAAGAGTACTGGCACAATTTTTTGGCTCAGTTCTGCAGAATATTTCAAGTTCAAACTTTAGCATATCAAGAGAAAATTATTCAGAAACCAGGATATAGAAGATTATCAATGTAATACAGGAAGACCACTAACCTCAAAGCTGACCACTCTCAGCTAAATGGATGAACAGTTTTGGAGATTCTGTTTATATTCTTTTCAATACAATATATATTCTTTGCAATACAACAGAAAAAAATTAACTGTCTTCCCCATATAGCATCTCACCCCCTTTTTTTAAAGCACAACATATTTTGAGTGCACTTAAGAAAAATATAATAACAATATTTTATTTAAAAAAGAAAGGAAAATATTAGAAAGGAAAACTTGCAAGCAGAACAGGAACACACATTTTGGAGAAGAATAGATATTGTTTAAAAGCTCAATTTAATAAGTTTACTCAAACTTTACTCAGTCCAATAAGGCTTAATCTGGTAAATATATATTCAATTCCAGCCTAAAACTCTTTTAAGGTGCAGTATTCACACTAAACAAATATAATTCAACTTTTGTGCTGCACAAAATAAAGATAGCATGTTGTTATTTGCAGAGGAATATAGTTTCCAGCAAATCTGTTAACTGTTACAAAACATCATTACTAATTTCTAAATTGCCACGCGAAAAAATAACTGCTTGAAAAATTCTATTCATGCAGAAGAAAACTACTGAAGCTTGATGTTTTTACAAACATATTAAAAAGTTTGAAATTAAAATTTTACTTGTGATATAATTTCTCCAAATAAATAAAACTCTGCTGTTCCCCAAGGATTTCAACACTGGATCATTTTTGGTGTAAAATGGCAAACAATAAGCAAAGGAATTTCTCATTTCAAAAGTGTCAGCTTTTTATAAATTTGGTTGAATTTATTTTGAAAAACCCTGTTTTGGAAAACGTGATGTAGTACAAGCAACTAATGCACTGGAAATATCAAATCAAAAGTTAGGAAAAATGATACACATTTGCAATTTTTAGGATTGGCTAAATGCTACTTCAGCATCATCTCTCAATCCCTCCCACTCCCTGTCCTTCCTATAATTATGTTACAATTCCCTCACCTAGATTTTCCTAGCAGTTCCATTATTTCTTACAGGAAGTTCTCTTTAGTCTTGACACATTGAAATGCTCTTCAGGCACCTTCAACTTAACACAGCTTGATTTTTGTCATTAAATTTTCTGTTGTTGCCACCAGCTATGCACAATTCTGTTTTATTTTGTCTCTCCTTGATTAGCATATCTTTTTTATAGTATTGCTAGACTTTTTGAAAATCATCCCTTTTTACAGACACTTCCTTGCTTGAGGTTTCTGTTAATGGACTTTATTTTCTTCTAGTTAAAGCTTTTTCCACTTATTACCTGACATTATAATCTTTACTTCATTCTTTCTGGCTTCATGATCTGTTGCTTTCTAGGACTTCTTCATAGCCCTGTTTGTTCAAACAATTCCATTTATTGTTACTGTACTGTAGAAGATTTCTTTTGAAAAAAATAATGTTTTTCAGAAACTGAAAAGTTATCAAGATTGAAACATGCTTTACCCTGAACACTTGAATTTTTATTGATGACGTCTCTACAGCTCATCACTGATGAAGGAATAATAATGGCTGAAAATAAGGCAGCTAATGGCTTTACAGTATTATAAACAATTTAGTATAACAATTAAGTTATACTAAACTGAGTGTTGGTTTCTCCCATATAATTCTATATCACTTATTTAGGAAGAACCTAACTGAAATCAATGGAATTTCTGAGAAGACAAATTTGAAATTGCACCATAATCTCTTAAATATTTTATGTAGTTATTCATAAATACACAAGTACTATTCCTAACTTTTAGCAAACAGGAGTTTTTCTGAATCTGACCAGAATTATAAAAAGTTACAACAAAGTTAATTTGTCTGGTCATACTTTATGTGTATTTGTATTTGTATTTGATTATTTTTTAAGAGCAGATTAACTATTTCTCTTTTATATTTTCCTTTTTAAATAAACATTATACCAATTATCAGTATAAAGGAGTCCTTGTCAGATTAGCCATTTGTGAGTCCAAGATTCTTGACCAAAATAAAATACATATGCCAATCACAACTTTATTTCCAGGGTGAAATCTTGTGTCCACACATATGAAGCTAAAACATTTGATGTTTAAATAAGATAAAATGAAAATAATTTTAAAATGGCTACAAGTAATAGAATAAATTTCCATGCAAAAGGCCACAACACCACAGCCTTTGAAAGACACTTACTTTTCTCCGAGAATCACCCGGAGGCTGCTCTGGAGTAAAGAAATTTATAATTCGACTTTGGTTTTAAAACAGATACTCATTAAAAAATAAATCTGAATTAATTCATACATATGCCTCCTAATCCAACCCTCTGAATGCTTAAGTGTCTATTTACTGTCTTGTATATATCAAAAGCAATGAGCAATATCATCACACCATAGCCTGGGGAAGAAGTTGCAGGTTAGCTACCAAGCAGTCTATCTCTTGAAATCCATTTGTCTCTGATCTCTTTACTTGGTTGAAAAGAGGAGACAGACTATAGAAAACACCTGTTTTTCTTCCCACCCTACCTAATTCACAAAATGTAGTTTAAAGAGAGATTTCAAGAGAGTAAGCTGTTTGCTCTACTATACATTGAGAGTAATGTAATTGTGACAGTAGCAGAAGTCAAGGAAAGACAGATTGTCTGCAAAATTTGTTTGCTTCCCCACAACAGCAGAGAGATCGAAGAAAAAAAGATTTCAAGAGAATAATGTAAGCTGTTTGCATAGTGCGTCCATAGTTTCAACCTCAGATTGCCAGCACAATTACATTACTTTTGATGTCCAGAAGTGCAAAAAGCTTACAATACTTTCTTGAAATCTTTTTCTCTCCAATCTCTTTTTTCTGTGGGAGCATGGGTAAAATTAGGCAAAGAAGAAATTGCCTAAAGGAATCACTTCTTTTGTTCTACATTCACCCCACCCCAGAGCAGTACATTCAATGTGTTGAAGAGCAAATTGCTTGCTTTCTTAAAATCCCTTTCTCTCTAATCTCTCTACTCTGCAAAAGAGAAAAAAAATCATGGATGAGATGCAAAACTACATGTACAGGCTGTAATGATGATCAGGTCACTGAGGATGCTATGAATATCTTGAATAGGCAATAAAAATATTTTTCCAATACCATTCACAATAACTTTGATTGCAGAACAAGCAGTCAGTAAATGACAAGTATGCATATACATATATACACCCCTCACATTTTATCTCCCCTCCATTAAACGCACACATTTTCAAAGTTGCATTCTTTCTTTGAGAGAGAAAATAGTTTAAGGTTTCTGCTTGCAGATTTCAAACACCAAAACGTAAACCTCAGGCTGAACTGAGGAAGAAAGAAAGCTGCACAGAGTAAACATGATGAGAATTCCAAGTTTCTGTCCTGAATTATTAGATACAAGCATTTCCTTTATCCACTTTTTGTGTATATGTGTTTGTGTATATGTGACTTAGGCTAGGTGGTTGAAAGGAAGTTACAAGACACCCTAAAACTAAAGAGGAAACGGGATTTTGGAAGCTTAGACAGTTTTTCAAATAATAGTAATATTAGGTAGATTGAGTAGTACAAAATTAATTACATGAAAGAAACATCTGCTTCATAACAGACTCTAGCTGGGTGTTAAAAGTTATTAATCTATGAAAAAAACCAATGAAAAGAAAAAAGAGAAAGCTTCAGTTGTTCCCCAGAACTTATGTTCAGTAATTACTATTTCCAAACCTGGAGATTCAACAATGCTCTTATAGTAGCCACTGGTGGATATATCCTTCAAAATCTTGATCTCAATTAGAATTTAGAATACTATTAGAATAGTACCAATTTGTGGCAGTGAAATCCACAATTAAAATATACAACAAACTTGAAAACTGCTTTATGAAAGTTATTTTTGTTTGGTCATTTGATTATTTTCATTGAAGCCACTCAAGCAGGTTTATTTCAATCCCTTCAGACAGAAAATGTTAGGAAGCATGGCCAGTGCAGCTATCATAATTGATAATGAGAAATATCAATTTATTTCTAGTCTTTTCTATATTTTAAACAACATTAATGTATGTAATCGGTTTCTAAGGCCACTCATTTCATCTCAGTACATGACTCTGTGGGATTCACAACACTAAAACAAATACATATACAAATACAAATAGAAAATTAATTAGCTCAGGACTCATTCTCTCTTATCATATTTGTTAAAACTCAAAAACCTTTGCTGTCAGGTACTTTAATATCTCCCCTACTATACCCAAACCAAATGACCGTTATCACTTTTAGAATTCTAAAGGTTAGTGGAAGATACTGATTATTAGGCAGATATTCTATGATCTTTTTGGTAATTTCATTTTTAATTAAGTTTTAGGAACAGCGTTTTAATTTTGTTTAAATACTTTGTAAAATTTATAGATATTTGACATAGTTTGACATGTGATGTTAATGTGAATTATAAAGTAACACAGATAACAAAATAATATAGGCAATCCTCAATTTAACAATCATTTGTTTAGCAACCATTCAAAGTTACATCACTGAAAAATAACTTATGATTGCACATGATCATCACAGCATCATTATGGTCATGTGATCAAAATTTGACTGCTTGGCAATCACCATGTATTTATAATGCAATTGCCATTTGCAACCTTTCCTGCTGGCTTCTGACAAGTAAAGTCAATGGGAGATGCTGGAGTTGCTTAACAACTGCAGTGATTCAACTGTGGAAAAACTGTTATAAAATCAAGTGTGATTCCCTTAAAAACCTCCTTTCTTAACAATGGAAATTCCCAATTGTGGCCATAAATCAAGGAGTACCTATAAGATACAGCTGTTGATCCAATAGTTGGAGGGAATAATACATAATCCCCGGGTGTTGGAATAGGGTAAGATTGGAGTCCAAGCACTGTATGAGTTGATGGACTGGAGGTGGAGGGTGAGGCATCTGGTTTTCTTGCTTTTAGTTTCATTACTATTGAGAGCTGCCCAAACTTGTTTTTTTAAACAAGTGATATAAATAAAGCTTAAGAAGGACACAAATCATTTAATATTAGGGTTTTCTGATCTTTAACAGTTTCAAGCATTCATGAACAAATAATTCCCTTTTCTCCACAGGAAAGACTATTAGGGGAAATTTCTTTTTTTAATGAGTACAGGTAATCCTCTGATTACAAATAAAATAAAGCCTGCCAATTACATTTGTAACCTGAGGATTCGTTTGACTGAATTACGTTAAATAAACATGATCACTCACCAGTTTCTGTATAAAAGACTTTGGCTTATCTGCCATGTGGGCCAGCCTCTTCTAGAGCTCTTCGAAAAACAAGTTCAGTAAAGCCATGGGAAATGGGTTGGGGAGGAGTAAGTGGAATCCGGGATACTAGCAAAGCAAGCCTAGTCTGTGGAGACCTGGCAGGAGGTGGGGGGAAGGAATAGGCAGGGGATATGTTGCAGTGTCTCTACGGTTGGTTGTAAGGACGAATGACCAGCGTGGTGCTGCAACATGTGTAACTTCAGGACTGAGTGGTAAATACTTTTGGGGGGAGGGGGGGTATCGTAATTTTGAATGGTCACTAATTGAACTGTTGTAACTTGAGGAATATCTGTTATCATTCTTTCCTATACTCATGTTGATCTTGTTTGAAGACATTTTTTCCTAAATATTAGACTAAATGTGTAGATTACTTGTATAGATACAAAATACTGTATATAGATTAGCATTTTCCCTGTGCACCTTTAAGTGATCACTCCAACACTTATACCATCCTGCAAAATCTAAATTATTTTAGAGAAATTCATTAGAAATCAATGGGTAACTATTAAGGGATTCCCAATGAATGCTGCAATTCATAAGAAATTAATGTGAGAAACCTTGAATTAAATCTGCAGATTCTGTAAAACAAATATTCATATGAGGCCAATCCAATATGAAGCAGAAAAAATGAATATAATTTAAATGCTTACCTCCAAAGAGTTCCAATTCCCGTAAGCCCTCAAGAATAAATTTTTCAGACATCCACCGCTGTGAAAGAAACCCCCCCAAAAGGTAATGTGACATAATTATCATATTTCTTCTAAGTAAAAGGGGAAAAAACACCACAGTATGATCCTTAAACTTATAACATCAGAGAAATGTTTAGAGATAAGTCATAACAAATTATAAGTCATAATTTGTTTGGCTTTTTCTACAAGTCCACTGGGTATGATAAAATGACCCTTCATGGTATCCATTTACAAGATAAATTTGAAGTACTTTTATACATTCTACACACTTTTTCTACAATCATATTCCAATCATTTTATACAAATATATATATTCTCTTTTAAACTATAACTTAATTTATATTGTAAATTTCAATCCTTTTAACCAGATGCTTTCCCATTATTCTATTGGTATATTGTGTTCAAAATTCTTAGCCTACAGTATTATTCAGTCTTTCATGTATATGCCTTCTGTTTCGAACTTCACTAAAAGTTTATATATTTTAGTAATTATATTTCATTCTTTGGCCATAGTTCAGGTTAAAATTCTGTTTTCTGCTACTCAATTCCAAATGTTTGTTTATTAATTAGGCCAAGTCTTTATTTATTAAATAAATTTATATGGCTGCTCAACTCATAGTGTCTTTGGGTGGATTACAACATTAAAAAATTGCAGGGAAAAAATCCCATACATTCCAATCCTCCCCCTCCCCCTCCCCCACTGGCAACAAATACAATGATGCCAACTATTTATTTATTTTAAAAACGACATATTATCTACCTTAAACCTTTCTCTTAATTGTGTAGATGGAAAATATTGAAAACTAAATCCTTTTGTAGTCAATTCTTTCTTGATTTCATCTTACAGTCTCCATGTTCCTGTTATAACAACTCTTGATAAGTTAACCATTCTTTACATACTGTTTCTTTTCTATAAATGCTTTTTGTGCTGAGACCTACAAAGGCATTTTCAGGCATAGACAGACTTTATTTCTGTTCCATAGTCTCAATAGCAACTCTACATGAAAGATTTTTATCACAGAAATTCTCCCAAACAATGTCCATTGTCATTTCTCCTATCTTAACATATTCTTGATTTCATTCCATGTTTTAAGGTAATTCTTCTGGTATAACTACAATTTATGTTAACCATACTTATATCCAAGCATTTCACTTTCTTCCCAATCTTACAATTAGTTGCTTCTAGCAATTCCATTTATTTTCCATTTTCATAGTCTTTGTTTAACATAATCTTTGCTACTTTTAAAGCAACACCCAAAAGTTCTTAATTTTTCCTTTTAATATTTCTATTCTTTCCAGAGGACCTTTTGATTGCTCAAAATAATACATCTACATGGTATGTTGAGTTAGTAGCTCAATCTTATCATTATCATATCAGACTGAAATATATCTATAGAAGTATAAATAATTAAAATTACATTATTTGTGATTGTGTGAATTTTTTTAAAAAAGACACTTTCTCATTAAATTGTGTTGAAAGTGATTGACACTCACTCTAATTCGTTCTGGTTTACTTACAAGGAAAGACATGGAATCCACCCGTGATAATGTTAGTCCACAGGCATGAAAATTTTAGAGTGTCCTAATATAAAGAAAAAAAAGCAAGGGAGGTATCACAAAAAAACTGAAAACAAACATTTCTATCAAGCTTCTTACTGTCTTGCTTCATTGAGTTAAGTTAATTAGCTGTATTAAGTGAACTGGATATTTTTTACTCTAAAAATTAAAACAAAAATTACCCAAATAGAAACTATTATGGAAAGATACCATTCTGTTCAATTGTACAGTTCATTTAATACATTGCAGGAATTAAAAAAAACAAAACCCAGACATGTTGACTTTCATTACATCAGTATTATTTTACACTATTGCCTATAATGGTAGAAGGTAGTCCACATGCATTCTTCCTAAGTCAACTTATTGAAAGGCTGTGGAGTTAAAGTAAAGTACTGTATATCCAAACACATGACTTATAAATAATGGCTGAAGAGAGTTTAAGACTATGATGGAAGTCTCACTACCCCCATATAGTTCAGGACATACTGATAGACTATCAGCTATCTGTTGATCAACCACCATTATAGATTCATCACTATCAGAACTGGATTTAACATAGACTTGAATGGTATTCTTTCTTTTCTCAAATATTGCTCTCATACTCAGTGTAACATTAAATTCACATAATTTAAAACCAAACCTTACTTCTAAAAATATTCTTAATAAATCAGTACCTAATTGCAGTATATCTACATTTATATGAATCTACTGGGTGAGATCATACGTCACCATGGACTAAAGTATCACCAATATGCTGATGATACTCAGCTGTATGTCTCGGCCCAGTGTTGCTGTGTCCTCCCTCTCGCAGTTCCTGGAAGCTGTTAGGGGCTGGATGGGGAGCAACGGGTTGAAACTAAACCAGTGCAAGACTGAGTGGCTCTGGGTCTCGGGTTCGTTGGTTCAGGGAGAACCTTTAGTCTTGGATGGGGTGGCACTACCCCAAACAGACCGTGTGTGTAATCTAGGGGTTCTCCTGGACTCACGACTCCTGTTCGAAGAGCAGGTAGCGGTCGTGGCCAGGAGGGCCTTTGCGCAACTGCGGGTTGTGCACCAGTCACACCCTTTCATGGATCAGCAGTCCCTACTCAGTCACTCATGCCCTGGTCACTTCCCGTCTTGATTACTGCAACACACTCTAATGGGGCTGCCCTTGAAGAGAATCTGGAAGCTCCAGTTGATGCAAAATGCAGCGGCTCGCATGGTTTTATGCAGACCCCAGTGTGCACAAGTATCACCTCTCCTGCAAGAGCTGCATTGGCTGCCAATTTGCTTCCGGGTGCAATTCAAGGTGCTGGTTGTCACCTTTAAAGCCCTTCATGGCTTGGGTCTGGGTTATCTGAGGAAACATCTCTTGCCAGTGACATCTACCTGACTCATTAGAGCAAGGATGAAGGGAATGTTGCGGGTCCCAACCCTGAGGGAGATATACCTGGTGGGGTCTAGAAGAAGGGCCTTCTCTGTGGTGGCTCCATCTCTCTGGAACATAATTCCCCCAGAGATTAGAATGGCCCCCTCATTAATACTATTCCGAAAGGTACTGAAGACCTGGTTTTGCCAGCGGGCCTGGGGACCCCAGAGAGGGATGGAACCCATCAAATGGCTAGTGTGATCCACTGCCGTCAGGGTGGGGGTGAGAGTTGTTTTTTGTTTTCCCAAATTTTGTTCTATTGTACTAATTTATTTGATTCTTTTTGTTAGTTCTTATTGTTTTAATTTTAATTTTTTGTTTTAAATATGATTTTACGTTGTATAAGCCGCCTTGAGTCGCCATGGGTGAATAGGTGGCAATATAAATCAAAAAAATAAATAAAACAAATAAATATCTACAACAGCCTGAACAAGAACCTGCAGTTTTGGCAACAGGAAGTGCAGTGTTGCTAGTTTCTACTGCTTCATAGTGTGCAAAAAATAAACAATCCAGTCTCTGAATGTATATTTTATTATTGAACAACATTTTAATAATATTTTTTAAAATCCTGTGAATAGCAACTACCAAGTCATTATTTCACTGTTAAGTTTAAAAAAGGGACAACAAAGATAATTTCAGGAGTTATGAATTATTTTAACAGCTGCGGTGGTTAGAATGCAGTACTGCACGCTAATTCTGATTGCTGACTGCCTGCAATTTGGCAGTTCCAATCTCACCAGGCTCAAGGTTGACTCAGCCTTCCATTCTTCTGAGGTGGGTAAAATGAGGACCCAGATTGTTGGGGGCAATATGCTGACTCTATAAACCACTTAGAGAGGGTTGGAAAACACTTTGAAGGAAGTCTAAGTTTAAGTGCTATTGTTATTGCTATGTTGTATGTTTCTTCAGTGCCCAAGTTGAAAGCAGTGCTAAGACTAAGGCTGTTCCACAATATGCTTAACCAGATCAATTATTCTGTGTATCTCAGCATATAAACCCATACTATTTGACTGATTTAAGGCTCAGTGAATTTAAAACTAGGTAACTAGGTTAAATCTGTTGTGCGAACTGTGAGAAATTTTATATCTAAAAATACAATGAGTGAATCGGATTTATGTATGTGTGGATTTTTCCCTTTTTTCCTTTCCACCATTTAATTTTATGCTCTCTGGCCTTTCCTAACTACCTCAAATTCTCATGAGCTTCACTTTGCTGTTACCAAGAGATTTTGGATAGCTAGGAGATTGGCACTCCGAGGGGCTGTGAATCACAGTAGATTGTGTGTGGAAAATAGTCTCCGTGTGTGTGTGTGTGTGTGTGCGTGTGTGTGTGTGTGTGTGTGTGTGTATGTATGTATGTATATATATATATGTATATATATATATCCCAAACCAACGGGGACACGCATTTCAGGTAGGGGCAAGGAAAAGGGAACTTCAGCTTTGCATGTTTTCCCAACCTCTCAATTGGGAAGGGTGCTGGGCCCCTGGATTTAGATAGGTGGATGCCTGGTTTAGGTGAGATTGAAAAAGTGAAATGCACAGGATTTATATAAAAAAGATGGACTAAAATATGGGATGTGACTAGTAATTTAATTTAATTTGGCAAAACAAAGGTACTTTCAATTGTAATAAAATGAAAAAATTAAAAAGCCATAAAAGAATTATTTTCTTGAAAAGTTAAGTTGTTATTGAGTATATGAATATTTCTAGAAGTTTACATTGAAAGAGACTATTTTACTATCATTGTATATATATGCATATTCTAATTTTATGTTTAAAGTAAGAAAAGTTAAAAAGATGAATTATGCTTTTTTGATAATCTATGAAAATAACTCATAGAAAGCAGTATCTTTCTGTTTCTTCACTTTACCCATTTACCACTCTCCAAGTAAAATCTGGAGACTAAAGGAAGGGAAAAAAGGGGGGGTGGGGTGGGAGAGGAATAATCTTTAATCCCTCTCCACTCTGCAGCCCATTCTCACCTTTTTGCAACTGCTAAACATTTTCTCCCTCTAAATCTCTTTATAAAAACTAAACTATGAGGAATAATCTTTCTTCATAGCTTTGTTGGCTTGCCTGGCCAACAAAGCAATGTGGAGAGAAATCTTTTTTTTCTCTTTTCTTTCCTTTTCTTATTGCTTCCCTCAAGAAATCAGACAAGAATTTTTGTGTCTTGATCTTGCAAAGACAGTTCGATAGATAATTTAATCAGTCCTAAATTTAGTCAGTTGATTTCTTCTATTCAATCCTGGTTAATTTATTGTTTTTCTTATCACATATGCTAATTAAGAGGAAGAAATTGCAAACCCACAATCCAGCAAAAGCCTGTTTTCAATACTCCATTTAATATACTTTTAAAGTATATTAAAAGTAATACTAGCCCCATTCAGCCTTCATATCTGCAAACTGCATTATAAGAGATGAGTGAAATGTATGTTTAAGCAGAGTTGCCATATAGCTCTGATTTTCATAAACGTATATGCTTGTAAGAAAGTTAATGATTGTAACTATATGTAGAAAAGGGGAGTTTGAGAAAGGAATAGTCTATATCACGGGTATGAAACTTGCAATGTCACGTGATATTTCATGACTTTTTCCCTTTGCAAAACTGAGGTGGGCGTGGCCTGCACATGACACATCCAGCCCATGAGCCACCAATTTTTTTTTTAAACAAGTTTTATTAATTTTTAAAACACACAAATTATCATTATTCATTACATGTTTAAACCTTTTTTCATTGTAAATTTAACAAGTCAGATAAATTATGATTCTGTTTTAAACCATTTCCATATAACATACCAAAACCTCTTATTCAATTTCTCTTTACTTCTCTTTACTCTTATTCAATATCATTATTATTATTTCATCTATTTCTTTCTGACTTAGTTACCATTATTCTCATTCTATATTTCTACAAGTTTTTACTAATTCTCCCCCCCAAAAAAACATATACACACAATACACAAAACATAAAAAAAATCTTTTTGGAAAGTAACTTGGACCCAGGTGTCTCTCTCTTCATGGACTTCAATTATATTCATGCTCATCTTACATATCATTACTTATTTTATTTACCATTCTAAGCCTTCTATATTAACTTCTCCACATATTTCACCCTTCTTAATTCTATCTTAATTAATCATCTTAGTTTGAATCATTATATTTGTATCTTTTGTCCATTTTTTATCATCCCTTTGTCTCATTCCTTATAAAAAAGAAGAAAATAAGTTTCTCCTGAAATCATTAATCAGAGTATGATGCCTTTCTATCTCCCCCCTAAGTTAGTCAAATTAATCTTTAAAATAATATCCAATACCCAATCCGATTTTGCTTGGTACATTCTATCTAACTAATACATCCAAAATAATTAAGTACATAATTAGACAATAAATCCAAATATTAAAAAAAGATACTATAATAAAAATTTTATAATAACATCAATACCATAATCTTATTAAACTCTTTAATTAAAACAGTATTCTAAACCTCCCCTATTATTAAATTTTAAAGCCAATCATTTTTAAACATTTTAACATTTTAATCTCTTATCAACTCTTAAACCATTACAATACTACCATCTCATCTTATGTACCTTGCAAAATCTTTTTTTTT